GTTTTTATGATATAATTATGATTCAAATATAAAAGTTATGTGATATTTTTGAAAAGATTTGTAACTTTTGGAATTGATTATATACCTTTAATATTTAATCTTGACTATATACAATAAAAATACAAAAATAACTTTCTCAGGGAATACATCGCTCACTAGTTACTGTAATTTTTCAATCTTTTTTTTTTTCGTATAATTTCTTTTTGGCATCTTTCTGTCAATTCTAAACATAATATAAAAGACAATTCTAAACATAATAATATAAAAGACAGTAGCAATATCACCAGTGAGACCCTCACCTTTCTTTAATGATAATGATGAACTATTGCTGAAAGAATTAAACCACTGTTACAAAGAACAGGAATGGAAGGGTATCCAAGGTCTTCATCATCAGCACAGGAGATAGTTTGATAACAAAGGATTTTCAATTATGGATGATTGAGAGAACTGGTCCATTTGCTGAGGTGAAAGAAACTAAAGGTTCAGATCACATGGTCATGTTCTCCAAGCCAGAAAAGCATACCTATCAGCTTCTTGATTTTGCAAATAAATATTAATGTCCATATGTTTCACATAAGTTTAATTTAGATTTTGTTCAGGAATAAATGAAAAAAAAACACAAAGAAAGGGGTATTTAATCTTCAATATTAGTGTGTTCACACTATATATCTTGTTCGGTGATTTAATGTGATACTAGTGATTTTACACTTGTGACATATATTTCTAACGCATTATTTGATACATATGATGTTTATTTATCTGGAACTGTAACGTTTGTACAATATGTGCTCATTGTATGCATTTTTCGTATCATACATGTCCAATAACTAAATTTTAAATGTTCTATCACTGCAAAAAAATAATTTTAATTTTTATAAATTTTAGTAATAATAAAAATAATCATTAAAAATTTTATTTGATAAAAAATTATTTATCATTGTATCTACTGTCAATAAAAATGTTATTAATCATTATAAAAAATATAATAAAATTGAATTTATTGTTATTAAAAATTTTAATTTATAATAACAAATATTAATGACAATTTAAATGGCTATTAAAATTAATTTTTAAATTAATTTTTTTATTTATTTACTAGCTTTTATTATTGTAGGTAAAAATTTGGATTCAAAAAACAGAGTGTCTACTTATTTGTTATTATAGTATAAAGTGATAACCATCAAAAAGATTTTATAACAACTAATAAGAAAGGATAATGTGAGGTTCATCTCAAAGACACAATCAATACTTATGTCATAAGACAAATTTAAATTCAAAAAAATACTCTTAAAAGAGACCTAAAGTTATTGAATAACGCACATCTTCCAATAAAGTAAATCTGAATTATACACTGTTACTTTTCTAAGCTGTAACATCTTCAATTTTGTATAAAAGTAACTAAATAAATTTTTATAATAAAATAAAAAATAAAATAATTGTTTTATTTCATGCATTTAAAAATTGAATAAAAACAAAACTTACATTCCTTTTATAAAAATTTTATAAGATTTTACAGTATTTAAACTTCCAAAGAAATACTTTCAAGACTTTAAAATAATAAATAAAATATAAATTTACGTCTTACAAATTATTTAGTTCACATTATATACATATAAGTTTAGAATATTATTAAAAATATCTCTAAATTATTTGTCACAATAAAATTCGCCAAAGCATTATAAATTCTAAAATTTGATATTATAGAAATTTTTACATAACTTGGTCAATATGAAACGTAATTAGGATAAAATATTATAATTTCTCAAATTGTCTTAGTCCCTATAAAGTAGTCTTTCTTCCAATATCATGGGATTATGATCCTAGAACGGACCAACTCTCTTTATCTCTTCACTTTCATTACCTAATATATATTAGTATGGTTGAGCATTTCCCGCCCCACTAGATCTCTTTATTTGACATAAAATTTATATGGTACAAGAAATATTGGCTAACACATTTATAACACACATCAATTAATAATAACACTCAAAGCACACAAATCATTATTAGAGCAGAACACACATCCAACATATAATTATTATTTTTTTGAGTGTGAGGCCTTTGGTGTGCTTTCTCTCTATTTTCATTAATTTTTTTGCACAATCATGGAAAGACATCCACCACCCTCATTTCCTCTAGATTTCTCAATCACTCTCATCTTTCACACTCCAAGTGTATCTCTGTGACTATCTACACTTATTCCATTTCTCTTTCTCTGTGATTGGATTGTGAGTGCACCATTATTAAATTCTTGGTTTTAAGTAGAAAGTAATTTAAATGCATGCTAGATATACCGAAATAATGTTATTTAAGAATAAATAGTTATGTTACATTTAAGAAAAGAAAAATAACTAATGAATCAAATTATCTTTACACTTCTTACTGTATTATTTTCAATATAAATTGATTTGAACTTTTAAACGCTTGCATTATCATTGGTGAGACCTTATCCTCTCCTCTCTCTAGTGACAGTGAACACTCATTAAAAAAGATAAAAATAGAATAAACTCATGTAAGTTTTCAGTAGTTTTATTTTAAAAAATGAGATATTAATTTCAAATTCATAGTAATGACTTTTGGGATGAGATATTTAATATTTTGAATTAGTTTATTATAAATATATGTATTGTGTATTTGAACATTAATTTACTATTTAAAAGAAAACAGAAAAAAAAATCTAATTCATACTGTTTTATAATGGATTAGGTTATGTTAAATTTGAAATAAAATACAAAATATTTAGATGATAAAATAAAAAAAAATCTGAAAAAGAACAATTAGATGAATTTTCTCTAAAATTTTAGCTAATTTAATCTACAAACAATTTTTGTGTTGAATGTGGAAGAATATATAAAGTGGAAGCAAACATAATTGTTGTTCTCAATGATAGAGAAATTGTTGATCAAGAACGTGCATGTATTATGTCCCTAATCGTTTTAATGCTGAATCAATCGAGTCAAATTAAAGCATTTGAGTTCATTGTCAATAATCAACAATAGTGACATTTCAGAAATTTTTCTGATGAGTGTGCAAAGAAGACAGAGCAGATCAAGCATGAAATGTTAAGACTTGCGATTAAGGGCTTTAAAATACTAAGAATATTATATTGCAGCAAATGGTGAGTTTAAATAAAGTGATGATGTTTCATAATCTCGATCATGGCTGAGTTTAAATGATAGTTTTAAAGGCTTAGATTTTTTGAACCAGAAAACTGTTATGTTAGTAGCTAAAACATTATTTGTAGAAAATAATTTTATTTGAGCAGATAATACAGTGAATTTAGAAAATAAAATATTCTATCTTTCATTTTGTTTATAAGAAATAATTACCAATTTTTTGTTAACTCTAAATATAAGAAATAAGTATTTTTTTTAGATACATTAATGGTTAAGTTTAAATATTTTTTAATAAAATATAAATTTATGATGTATAATAATTTATTATTGATCTTGATGAATTAGAAACTTTAGGATTTAGGGTACAGTGATATTTAAAAACTTTTATGTAATTCAAAATTTATTTTAAATGTTTTTTTTTTTAATTTTGAGATATGAAATAATAATTTTATACAATTTTAAAATGAAAAGAGAAATATCTTTGAAACTAGTTACCAAAATTCTCTCGGGAATAAACGAGTGATAGTAACATGTTGTGGTGACGTTAGTAGAATTAGAAGGAAAAATGGAGATGTTTTGGGAATTTGAATAAGAAAAAACAATGATATAATTTAGCATGTTTGACTTGGCAAAGGATTATTTAGAAAGTTTTCATAAATTTGACATAACGTCAGTGATGAAATTTACTTTTGAAAGGAAAATGGAAAAAAAAAAAGACTTAGATTGTATAAACTTATAAAAAATTAATAAAACTTTTTTTATATAATTCAGAAACAACTTGTATTTTTTATTTAAATTTTGAGGAATTAAATTATTTTTAATTTATAAAAATATTTTTTATATTAATTTTTCTATAAAATTTTTTCTAAAAATTTATTTAAACTGTATCAAATACAATCATGGCAAGTCAAGAAAATAAAAACAAGATTGATGATGGCTTGGTTGAAGCTTATTTGTAGACATAATATGGTTTAAGTCATGAAAAGTAAAGGCAACCAAAAATTTTGAATTTTCTTAATTGGGATTACGATTGAAGAGAATTTGATATGGCGTGTCTAAATAGGAAAGGATTGTGTAGGGAAAGATGGTAACAAGAGCAATTAACAAAAATTGATCAAATTAAGTTTTAAAATTGTGTAAAATAATGTTGTTCTAACATTATATATATATATATATATATATATATATATATATATATATATATATATTTAGTAGCAAAATTTTATACTAACAAAAATTATTAAATAAATTAAAGTGTTCAGTATTTATAAAGTTAATGATTAATATATTCACTTAAAAATTTTAAAAACTATTTTAACTAATTCTTAGAGTCTCATCATCATCAATGAGACTAATTTGAAATCTCGAAAGAATGAATCAACGAAACTAGGATATACATTTACTACTAAGTCAAGACTTTGACTATATGTTGGATGTGATTTGAAATTGGAAGGTTTTCTGACTTGACCACACCACATCACACGCTACATATTAAATGCTTTTTTGTATTTATTTCAGATCTTTGTCCACCATTAACTTGTAATTAAATATTTATTATAATATATATTTTAAGAATATTTAATATTTTAAGTTCTTGAAATATAATATTTATTATATTTTAAATTTTTAAGAGCTAATTTTTAAATCTTTACTTTTTTTATATTCTTTCAAATATTTTTATAGTAAACTTTTTCCCCCTTATATATATAAGCTACTTATGTATTTTTTAATTATTTATTTATATATTAAATTAAAACATACCCCCACAATATTCAATACAATTCAGTGAGAAAAGTCAAAGGCCATACACAAAGCAAGAAAGGTTCTCATTCTATATATATAGCAAATAACCATGAAGAAGCCAACAACTATATAGTTTAGAAGATGTCTAAATTGGGAAAACATTCTATGCTTATTCTTGTCTTAATATTTGAATGTTTGTTTATTTGCGTTAATGGTGCGCACTTTGTGCTAGTTCATGGATCGGGTCATGGTGCATGGTGTTGGTATAAGGTTGCAACTATGTTAAAACATGGTGGTCATAATGTTACAACACTGGACATGGCTGCTTCTGGAATCAATCCAAAACAAGTGCAAGAGATTCGATCAATTTCAGAATATTATGAACCTTTGATGACATTCATGAACTCTGTTCCTCCAAAGGAGAAAGTGATTTTGGTGGGTCATAGCTTTGGTGGGATACCTGTGTCTGTTGCCATGGAAAAGTTTCCTCAGAAAATTTCAATTGCTGTTTTTGTTTCTGCTGGTGTTCTTAGTGAGAACCTGACTTCCGCTACTGTTAACCAAGAGGTACTTTGCTTTTTCTTCTTGCTAAGAGATTCTTATATTTTAACATCAATTTTTTAATAGTTTTTTATAACATCGTCTATTAATTGATTGTGAAATGATTATTACTCCAAGGGATGCCCAACACCCATGATGATCCCATAACATAAGTTGGCTTAAATTAAGTTAGATCACTCAAATATGGTGATTGGAATCCCATTGATTTTTTTTTGGGGCAAACTTTGTAATTTGTTGTTTCCTAGTTGTACTTTAATTTTGTTTTTTTACTTTTTATTTTATCTTAATTTTTTATTTAATTTTAAGTTAGTCCTGTTTGCTTTAACTCAAAAATTGAAGCATGATTTCTGTGATTTTTTTTTATATTTTTATTTTATAGTCCTGTAACAAATTTGTGACAGATATTTCATAATGAATTTATCTCACTTAATAACATTTTGAAAATAATATTTATGATTATACTCATAAACTTGAGAAAGCATCTAATACACTTTAAATTGATGAATTACTAATTTTTCATTATCTATTATATATATATATATATAATATAAAATTAAAAGTGATAATTATTTTATGTATAAAAAGCATAGAATATCTTTTAATCTTCAAGGATAAATTAACTTTTAAAAAGATAATATAAAACTCTTATTGTGGTACTTGATTTTTTTTGGTGATTTATTGTGATACAGACATTTAGAAGAGCGGGTTCGTTTATGGACACAAAGTTTTTGTTCTTTGATGGGCCAAAGAAACCTCCAACTGCATTCTTATTAGGACCCAAACATGCGGCATCTAAGTTATATCAATTATCACCATCTCAGGTAACATTTTCACTTTAGTTACATTTTATCACGATCATACTTTATTTCTTTTTCTTTTTATCAACTTGATACACATGTTATAACACATCACATTGTTTAAAACAAATGATGTGTACCTTAACTAAGCCATATTCCTCCCTTGATTAAATGTGCAGGATTTGACGCTTGCATTAACATTGGTGAGGCCACACCCTTTGTTTAATAATGTTGAATTATTGTTGAGAGAAACATTCGTGACAAAGCAGAGGAATGGGAGGGTACCAAAAGTTTTCATCATGAACAAAAGTGACAAACTCGTAAAAGAGGATATTCAACGATGGGTCATTGAGAGAACAGCTCCATATGCTGAGGTGATGGAGATTAAGGGTTCGGATCACATGGTCATGCTTTCCAAACCCAAAAAGCTTAGCTCTCATCTTCTAAATATTGCCTACAAATTTTGAACTTTAGTTGCTTTTCTTCTATCAATAGCTTTGAGACTTTGCTTTCTCTTTTTCTTTTTTTGTTGTAGGCTTAATAATTTAGGATAACCTCTTTTTTGTACTTACCCGTGGAATGTAGAATGAAGAGAGATAAAAAAAAAAAAAGATATTAAAGTTTCAAGAGTACTTGATCTAATATGGAAAGATTATAATAATAGAGATTAAAGATAATAAATTTTATTTTTCTTATGCTTATCAATGTGGCAAAATACTTTTTTTTCTCTATTACATATTGCTTTTTTTTTTTTTTTGTCAAACTATTATATATTGCTATTGAACCATTTGAATTTGTGTATACAAACCTATGCATACACATGGATTTATCTTTTCAAACACAAATGAAAGGTTTTTAAGAAATTTAACTCAATTTGATGATAAAATAAAAACACTCCAAAGTGATTGAAAAGAATTTGGAACTGCAATCATATTGGTACACAATTAATAAACCCATAAAAAATGAATCTTATTCAGTTATCAAAAGAATTCAATTTGTATTTATAAAATTTATAAAATATGATAAACTCTAATGTGTTAGATATTATGTGACAAACAAATTGACATATGTCAAAAAGTAAAATAATTAATTTTACAATTAAAAGAAAATTAACAATATACTAATGTCTTAATCTCGCCTGAAGTTAGAGAGTGAATATTGATCACTCCTAACTTGGGTAAGAGCTTTTGAAAGGGAGTAGAATTTTTGTTAGAAGACCACCCGCTAAGCAGAGGTGCGGATAGGAAATAGATGAAATAACTTTGCTTGTAATTTTTCTCTCACAATATGACAATCTAACTCAATATGCTTGGTGCGCTCATAGAAGGTAGGATTACTGGCAATATATCTAACAAACTAATTATCACAATAAAGTAATGTTGGTTGAGTGAAATTGACTTTAAGATCCTGTACTAAGTATGTGAGTCATTGCAACTCACACACAGTGAATGCCAAAAGTTTGTATCCTACTTCAGATGAGGACTTATGTAACGCCCCAAATTTATAATAGTATCTTGTTTATTAATATGATTATATGGATTGCTATTTGAATGTGCAATTAATGTATATAATGATGTGAATATATGTGTGATGAAATGGATGTGTATGTGTATACGTGTATAAATATGTGTATATGAGCATGAGTGTGAATGTTGATTCTGTACTGAGGATGTTTGGTTTGTAATTGAGTTAGACTAATTGGAAACATAGGTTACTATGTACTGCAGGGGCATTCTTGCTGTAGCGAGAGAGTTCTCGTTGTAGCGAGAAGGTCCTGGGTAAATGGTGTACCTCTGTTGCGCTTTTGCTGTAGCGAGAAGGGCCTTAGAGAGAGAGTGTTTTATATGGTGCAGTCTCGTTGTAGCGAAAGGGTTTCATTGTAGTGAAATTATGCAAAAATTAGGGTGCAATTCTCTTTGATATTTTCATTGTAGTGAGAAGGGGTCTCGCTGTAGCGAGAGTGTCGCAAATCCTACAGTATTTGAGGGGTTTAAGGTTTGAAAAATTCATTTTTCACTTCTCCTATCATCCGTTCTTCGATTCTCTTGATTTCCAATCCTATTTCATCAATTAAATTGCCTCCAAAGCCATTTGGGTGCAAGATTGAAGGTTGATATCACGTTTGGGGCGTTTGGAAGTAAGTTCTATGAACTAGGGTTTATGTTTTTTGTTCTTTCTCCAATCTCCTCGGTTACTCTTAGAGTTTTCCATGTGTTTAGGAAGAAAATTCATTTGGGGAGCACTTCTATTGTTGATTTGTGTTGGGGGTCTTCAATCCAAGGTAAGGGGGACCCTACCGTATCTCTTTGTAGTTAGGATTCGTTTGTATGGTTATGTATTGGAATGTGAATGATGGAAACGTAGGAAGATGTGTGTTTTAATGAAAATGATTTGATTGTAGTGAGATTGAGATAGAAAGATTGTATGGAATATAATGTGGTTGATGTTGAATAGTATATGTGATTAAATGAATTGATTGATATAGGATTGTAATGGAAATGTTATGTGTTTAAGTGTAATACGACCGAATATGTGTGGATTTGCCATTTATGGAAGATGAATAATATGAAATGGTTGAAAGTGTGTGGAAATGACATGCTGATTGTGATTGTGTTTGAAAACGTGGGAAACTATGAATGGTTACAGCGAAACATTGGAGGTGTGGAAGATGGGGTGGTAAGAATACCTTGAGGAATAGGGTGGTGGTGACACCATCAGCGAGCGTGGGTGCACCACAGGTCACACACTCTTCTCTTGACTCGGCTTCTGACAAACACCTTTGCCAAAGGGCCCGTGACAGCACACGTTGTATCCGTGAGATGGGGGCTAACCGGCAACCATCCATGATGTGAAACTGAGTAAGTTTCTCAGGTTGGAGGCATTATGAATCTGTGATCATAGTGCCACAATGAGCGTGGCTAACATATAGTGAGCACACGTAGATGTTGTGTGTGAATTGTTTGACAGTGCAGTAAGCGCACCTGTATGTGAATTGGAGTGGAATGTTGAAAAGTGTTACTTTGTGTTTGTTTAATGCATGTTTTGAATTATGTTAGTAAATAGGTGAAACGTACGAGGTGAGTCTCTATGCTTATGTGTGATAGTGTAGAGTACTCACCTTTACATCTATTTTTCAGGTGATCAAGATCGTCAGCACTTGACTCAATGAACAGGAGGGATGAAACTACTATAGGACTTAGGAAATTATTTTTTTTAAATTGTGATGTATCTGTAGCGTCTATTTGGATGCAAATTTGTAACCCTCCCTTGTTTTGAAATACTTTATTGAAACCATATATTGGGTACCGTTGAATGAGATTTTATTTTTCCTAATTATTGCGAAATTTATTTATTTAAAAAATTAAATTAAGGTGTTACAATTTTAGTATCAGAGTAGTTCATCCAAACTGGGCTGGGGTATTGGGGTTGAAGTGTCCAAGTTGTGTGTTGGTGTGTTTTGTTTGCCTAAATTATAAATGTTGTTATTGATTTGACGTGTGAGAATGTGGTTTGTTGAATTGTTTGCTAGACTGAGGTTAGAAATGGCCGGTAAAGGTAGAGGAGCTGGTATCACCAACGACCTTCTAAAGTGAATGACCTAAGTTCTAGAGGCCTTGGTACATAACTAAGGTGCAGAGCTAACTGAATATCGAGGGTTGTCCGCCTTTACTAGGCATAACTCTTTGAAGTTTGAGGGAAAATTTGATCTGAAAGGAGCCCAAAGGTGGGTTGCAGATGTGGAGAAGATCTTCCATGCGATGGGGTGTAGGAAAGAGCACAAGGTAAATTACACCACCTACATGTTATGTGGGGAGGCAGAAGATTGGTTGAGGTTTGTCAGCCAGACTTTGCCACAAAAGGGTGGCTATATTCAATGGGAGGTGTTTAAGGCAAACTTCCTGGAAAATTACTTTCCCCGAGACTTAAAGAAGTAGAAGGCTTAAGAATTTCTTGACTTGAAGCAAGGAAATATGATGGTGAGGTAGTATGTTCCGAAGTTTCAAGAGTTGATGAAGTACAGGCCTCACTATCAGCACTAAGATGGAGAGGAGGACCTGTGTGCTCAGTTTAAGCATGGGCTGAAGCTAGAGATCCGTGTTGTTGTCAGCGTGTTCCAGCTGACTGACTTGCCTAATCTAGTGAGTAAGTGTAAAATCTTTGAAGCCAACTTGAAAGGCAAAACTGTGGACACTAGAGGAGTGGTCCGATGAGACAAGACAGGAGACCCCTTAAGTTTTTTAAAGGGCCGTATTCGAGTTCCAATCTGTCTCAGTCCAGAGGGACTTCATCTCAAGAGAGGAGTAGTGATAGCAGTTCTGGCTCAGGCTCTTTCAAAGGGCTAATCAGATGCTTCAGGTGTAGAGGACCACACATGTTGAGGGACTACCCACAGACACAGACCAACTATGCCAACTGTAGAAAATTAAGACACATTGTTAATACGTGTTGGGCTGCTTCTAAGAAGAGTAGCAGTACGAGCACAAACCAACGGCCTGAGTCAAGAGGGAGCACGAGGCCGAAGTCGAGTATTCCAGGAAAAGTCTTTGCTATGAGTGGGGCAAAGGCTTCATAATCTGAGGAGCTGACCAAAGGTAAATGTGTTATTAAGGGAAAATTGTTAGATGTGTTGTTTGACTCAGGTGCCACGCACTCATTTGTTTATGTGGATTGTGTAAAATGTTTGGATTTGCACGTGACTGAATTGTCGTGCAATGTTTAGTGACTGCCCCTACAGGTAAACTGATTGTGACCTCTTGGGTATGTCTAGGGTGTTTCGTGATGGTGCACGGTAGGGACTTTGAGGTAGACTTGATCTGTTTGCCAATTGGACGTGATTTTGGGAATTGATTGGCTAGTTGCCAACCATGTTTTGCTGAATTGCAGAGAGAGGACTTTGATTTTTAGTGCGTCGATGTTTGAAATCACTAGACTTTTGAGTCGACATGCATGGGAGAACACGGTAAATGCTAAGGCCTTTATGGTCATGTTCTTAATAGAAGCCGAAAGTGGAGTGGAGCCGAATTATATCTCGGTGGTGAGAGACTTCTCGGAAGTTTTCCCTGAAGATGTTTCTGAGTTACCGCTAGAGAGAGAGACAGAATTCACGATCGACCTTATTCTGGGAGCGAGCCTAATTTTTGTTGCACCATATAGGATGTCACTGGTGGAATTAGTAGAGGTCAAGAAGCAAGTAGAGAATTTGTTATAGAAGCGGTTTGTGAGATCAAGTGCGTCACCATAGGGAATACCAGTGCTCTTGGTGAAGAAGAAAGATGGGAATATGAGGATGTGTGTTGATTACAGGCAGTTGAACAAAGTAACGATAGAGAACAAGTACCATTTTCCTAGAATTAACTATTTGATGGACCAGTTGAAGGGAGCTGCAGTATTTTTAAAGATTGACTTGAGATCGAGGTACCATAAGATTAGGGTGAAGGACGAGGATGTACCCAAGACGGCTTTCAGG